ATGTGAGAGGTGGAGGTTGCAGTGAACCGAGATTGTACCACCACACTCCAGCCTGGGTGACAGAGTAAGACTCTGTCTCAAAAAAAAAAAGAAGAAGAAGAGAAGGACAGGCTTTTGTGGGGTTTTGTAGGTGGGAGGATACAGGATGATCTTAAGATCACCTGTCTTGGCCAGGCGCAGTGGCTCACATCTATAATCCCAGCACTCTGAGAGGCCAAGGTGGGTGGATTGCTTGAGTCTAAGAGTTCAAGACAAGCTTCAGCAACATCACAAAACCCATCTCTACAAAAAAATACAAAACTTTGTCAGGCGTGGTGGCATGCGCCTGTAGTCACAATTAGGAGGCTGCGGTGGGAGGATCACTTGAGTTCAGGAGGCAGAGGTAGCAGTGAGCTGAGATGATGCCACTGTACTCCAGCCTGGGTGAAAGAGCAAGACTCTGTCTCCAAAAAGAAAAAGATCACGTATCTCAACCAGATGCATTCAAATGTAATGAAATTGCAGAGAGAGAAGTGAAGTCAGAGAATATTACCTTTCTCTCTCCACAACCAGAATAAGGTCTATATCCAGATAAGCAGCTCCTAATCAGTTATATTTTCAAGGGCAATTCTAAGGTTTAGCCTGCAATGTTAAGGACTGTAGGTCTATTATAGGGTCCAATGATGTGAACAAGTAAGCAAACAACAGGGACACAAAATGTGAGAAATATGAAACCCAAAAATTAACTGTAACCATTTTATAATTTTATAACTTTAAGTAAGAATCTAAGACATGACAAAATAGGCTAGAAAGAATTACTATGCCATTAAGGAAAGGTTAAGTAAAGAAGCACACAAGATAGCCATTAAGAAATCTTTTTAACAGGGTGATAGAGAAAAGAACATCTTGTTTCTAACTAGCCTATCATGATCTAACTCTCTTGAATTTTTTTGAACATTAATGTGATATGCAGAACTTTAAAATGATTCCCCAAAGATGTCCTGCTCCAATCCCTAAAATTTGTGAATGTAATTAAGATATCACTCCCAATGTGGTTTTGATTTGCATTTCTCTAATGGCCAATGATGATGAGCCTTTTTTCATATGTTTGTTGACTGCATAAATGTCTTCTTTTGAGAAGCATCTATTCATATCCTTCGCCCACTTTTTGATGGGGTTATTTATGGGCTTTTTTCGTAAATTTGTTTAAGTTCTTTGTAGACTGGTTATTAGCCCTTTGTCAGATGGGTAGACCACAAAAATTTTTTCCCATTCTGTTGGTTGCCGGTTCACTCTAATGATTGTTTCTTTTTCTGTGCAGAAGCTCTTAAGTTTAATTAGATCCCATTTGTCTATTTTGGCTTTTGTTGCCATTGCTTTTGGTGTTCTAGTTATGAAGTCCTTGCCCATGCCTATGTCCTGAATGGTACTGCCTAGGTTTTCTTCTAGGGTTTTTATGGTATTATGTCTTATGTTTAAATCTTTAATCCATCTGGAGTTAATTTTTGTATAAGGTATAAGGAAGGGATCCAGTTTCAGCTTTCTGCATATGGCTAGCCAGTTTTGACAATACCATTTATTAAATAGGGAATCCTTTCCCCATTGCTTGTTTTTGTCAGGTTTGTCAAAGATCAGATGGTTGTAGATGTGTGGTAGTACTTGAGGCCTCTGTTCTGTTCCATTGGTCTACATCTCCATTTTGGTACCAGTAGCATGCTGTTTTGATTACTGTAGCCTTGTAATATAGTTTGAAGACAGGTAGCATGATACCTCCTGCTTTGTTCTTTTTGCTTAGGATTGTCTTGGCTATGTGGCCTCTCTTTTGGTTCCATATGAAGTTTAAGGTGTTTTTTTCCAATTCTGTGAAGGAAGTCAGTGGTAGCTTGATGGGGATAGCATTGAATCTATCAATTACTTTGGGCAGCATGGCCATTTTCACAATATTGATTCTTCCTAACCATGAGCATGGAATGTTTTTCCATCTGTTTGTGTCCTCTCTTATTTCCTTGAGCAGTGATTTGTAGTTCTCCTTGAAGAGGTCCTTCACATCCCTTGACCTTCTCATGCCAGTTAGAATGGTGATCATTAAAAAATCTGGAGACAAAAGATGCTAGAGAGGATGTGGAGAAATAGGAACGCTTTTACACTGTTGCTGTGAGTGTAAATTAGTTCAACCATTGTGGAAGACAGTGTGGTGATTCCTCAAGGATCTAGAACTAGAAATACCATTTGACCCAGCAATCCCATTACTGGGTATATACCCAAAGGATTATAACATTCAATTATAAAGATACATGCACACATATGTTTATTGCGGCACTGTTTACAATAGCAAAGACTTGGAATCAACCCAAATGCCTATCAGTGATAGACTGGATAAAGAAAATGTGGCACATATACACCATGGAATACTATGTAGCCATAAAAAAGGATGAGTTCATATCCTTTGAAGGCACATGGATGAAGCTGGAAACCATCATTCTCAGCAAACTGACACAAGAACAGAAAACCAAACACCACATGTTCTCACTCATAAGTGGGTGTTGAACAATGAGAACACATGGACANTGTGGCACATATACACCATGGAATACTATGTAGCCATAAAAAAGGATGAGTTCATATCCTTTGAAGGCACATGGATGAAGCTGGAAACCATCATTCTCAGCAAACTGACACAAGAACAGAAAACCAAACACCACATGTTCTCACTCATAAGTGGGTGTTGAACAATGAGAACACATGGACACAGGGAGGGGAACATCACATACCGGGGCTTGTCACGGGTGGTGGGGGGGCTAGGGGAGGGATAGCAGGGGGTGGGGGTATTGGGGAGGGGTAACATTAGTAGAAATGTCTAATGTAGATCATGGGGGATAGATGCAACAAACCACCATGGCACATTGTATACCTATTTAACAAACCTGAATGTTCTGCACATGTACTCCAGAACTTAAAGTATAATTTTAAAAAGAAAGAAAAAAAAAGATATCACTCCCAAGATTATGTTATGTCATATAACACCGTTAACTTTAAAATAATGGCATGAGCCAGGCGTGGTGGCTCACGCCTGTAATGCAAGCACTTTGGAGGCCAAGGCGGGCGGATCACCTGAAGTTGGGAGTTCAAGACCAGCCTGACCAACATGGTGAAACGCCATTTTTTAAAAAATAAATAAATAAAATAATGACATGATCTGGTGGAATTAATCTAATCAAGCAAGCCCTTAAAAGCAGAGGGCTTTCTGTGGCTGGTAGAAAAAGAGGAAGTCTGAAAGATCCTATGAAGAAGAGCTCAACATGTCATTGCTGGCTTAAAACCAGAGGAGGGCTGCATGCAAAGAAATGTGAGTAGTGTTAAGGGGCAAAGCAAGGACCCTCGCTGACAGCCAGCGAGGAAATGCAGACCTCAGTCTCTATTTTTTTTGAGGTTTGGAGTGCAATAGCGGGTCTCAACTCATTGTAACCTCCGCCTCCTGGGTTCAAGTGATTCTCCTGCTTCAGCCTCCTGAGTAGCTGGGATTACAGACTCACGTCACCATGGCCAGCTAATTTTTGCATTTTTAATAGAGATGGGGTTTCACCACATTGTCCGAACTGGTCTCAAACTCCTGCCCTTAGGTGATCTGCCTGCCTTGGCCTCCTAAAGTTCTGGGATTTTAGGCACGAGTCACCATGCCCGGCCGTCCTAAGTCTTACAACCACAAGGAACTGAATTTGGCAAAGCCCAGCACTGCTATCACCTTGATTTTGTCCTTCTGAAACCATAGGCAGTGAACTGAGGTGAGCCATGCCAGACTTCTGACCTAAAGAACTCTAAGCCAAAAAATGTGAGTTGCCTTAAGCTGCTACATTTGTGTTAATCTGTTACACAGCAATGAAAAACTAATACATTTACTTTCCGTATTATCTTTAGGTATAATGTGTTCCATAATATTAACTCCAGCAGTTACCTAAAGTAATGAACATCTTTGTCTTAAAATGTTAAAAAAATTTTTTTCAGGTCAGATGGGTAATGTGCCAACGTCATAACAAAGTTCAAGGGTGGCACATCTCACAGAAGCGTGTGAACACCCAATCATCATGCTCATGAACTACAAAAGGATCAAAATGTTAAAAATTTTATATCCTTCTTTACTTTAATCCTTATGACCTACAACCTTTTAGAAAATTAATCTTTTTTTTTTTTTTTTTTTGAGATGGAGTCTCTCTCTGTTTCTCAGGCTGGAGTGCAGTGGCAGAATCTCAGCTCATTGAAACCTCCGTCTCCCAGGTTCATGATAGCTGGGATTACAGGCTTGTGCCACCATGCCTAGCTAATTTTTGTATTTCGACTAGAGACGGTGTTTCACAATGTTGCCTGGGCTGGTCTCGAACTCCTGACCTCAGGTGATCTGCCTTCCTTGGCCTCCCAAAGTGCTGGGATTACAGGCATGAGCCACTGCGCCTAGCCACGTATCATTGCTATAAAAATTTTATATTTTATATGGGACATTACTGGTCCCCTAGTTCACCCTTCCTAATTTTACAGACAAGGAAACAGAGACTAAGAGAAATTAAGTAACTTGCTTAAGAAGAAACAATGACGGGGACAAGAAATTTAACATAAGTGTCTGACTACATCCAAAATTTCTGTCACCACCACAGCCATAATACTACCAACATCTTAATTATTGTAATGTGTAATATACATATCACCCTGTATGTCTTTCTCAGACTTCTTTTTTTTTTTTTTTTTTCTTATAATTCTCAGGTATCTCTGACTGTTCTTAAACTTCATAAAATTATTTTTTAAGTACAACCATCAGAAATTTGTGTAGTTTTCAGATTGCAGATATCTCATGTTTCATGGGATAATATATTGTTATGTAGTATTCCTGTATTTTTCATGTGTACCTATTTCCTTGATTTTACCTGATTGCTTGGAGAATATATCGTTTTCCCCTAAATGCATTACCTTACATTTGCCCATAATGAAGTTCTTCTGCCACTTTTCTGCCCACTCATACAGTCTTGTGCCGTGTTCATGAAGTTCATCCCTGTGACTTGGCATCTCACTACCCAGAAGTATGTAGTGTCATCTGTAAATTTGGAGAATTCACTGTGCACTCCCTCAAGAATATTTACAAACTGGTTAAATAAGACCATCCCCCAGCACCAATCCCTGGGGACCCCACTTCTCCATTTAGAAAATGTTCATTTTTCTTTCATCTTTCTTTCTTTTCCTACTTTTAAGCCCTTTTTAATAATAGATTTAGCAAACAGCAGATATTCACCTGGTTTCTTGTGAACTGTCTTGAGCAAACTTAGCAGCAGCTGGTAATATACGTTCAGCCATATCCTTTGTTGCAGATAAAATACGTTCTGGTTCCATAAATTCCAATACATCTGATAAATGCTGGGCTGTACACCTTCTTACAGCAATGTGTAAATGGCTACAAGGAGACATGATCAATTAAAACAGAGTTGTTATATAAACTATTCTCCGAAGATCTATGGATCTATGGGGTGTTTTTGGTTTTGTTTTTTTGGGACAGGGTTTTGCTCTATCACTGAATCTAGAATGCAGTGATGCAATGATGGCTTACTGCAGCTTCAACCTCCCGGGTTCAAGTGATCCTCCTGCCTCAGCCTCCCAAGCAGCTGAGGCCACAGGCATGTGCCAAGACACCCAGCTAATTTGTTTTTAGTTTTAGTACAGACGAGGTCTCACTATGTTGCCCAGGCTGGTCTCGAACTCCTGGGCTCAAGGGATCCTCCCACGTTGGTCTCCCAAAGTGCTGGGATTACAGGTATGAGCCACCATGCAAAGCCAAAGACCTATCTTAAAATTAAATGATTTAACAGCTTCTCAACAATCATTCTGGGAGGCTAAAATAACAAATTATTTGCATTACTTATTACTTCCCAAAAAGTTAAAAGCGAAACAAAACTGACATTTAGTTATAGATCTATGAATGTAAATAACATTATTGAAATAACAATAGAGTAAGGTTATTAAAATAACTTTTATTGCGCTAAAAGTAGATCTACCATTTGATCTAGCAATTCCACTGCTTGGTACCTACTGAAATGAAAAGAAGTCATTATGTGAAAAAGACACTTGCACATGTTTATTGCAGCAAAATTCAAAATTATAAAGATTTGGAACCAACCTAAGTGCCCACTGACTAATCAGTGCATAAAGAAAATGTGGTGGGCCGGGTCGAGGGCTCAAGCCTGGAATCCCAGCACTTTGGGAGGCCAAGGTGGGTGGATCACCTGAGGTTGGGAGTTTGAGACCAGCCTGACCAACATGGAGAAACTCTGTCTCTAAAAAATACAAAATTAGCCTGGCTTGGAGGCACATGCCTATAAACCCAGCTACTCGGGAGGCTGAGGCAGGAGAATTGCTTGAATCCGGGAGGCAGAGGTTACAGTGAGCCAAGATCTCACCATTGCACTCCAGCCTGGGCAACAAGAGCAACACTCCGTCTCAAAAAAAAGAAAGAGAGAAAATGTGGTATGTGTGTGTGTGTGTGTATATATATATATATATATATATATATACTGTATATATATATATATATATATATATATATATATACACACACCCACCATGAAATGCTACCCAGCCATTAAAGGGAATTAAATAATGTCTTTTGCAGCAACTTGGATGGAGCTGGAGGCCATTATTTTAAGTGAAGTAACACAGGAGTGGAATACCAAAAACCATATGTTCTCTCTTATAAGTGGCAGCTAAGTTATGAGTATGCAAAGCCATACAGGGTGATATATATAATTATCTTTAGAGAAAGAAGAAGAGCAGGAGGGGGGCTAGGGATAAAAACTACACATTAGATACAATGTACACTATTCAAGTGATGGGTGCACAAAAATCTCAGAATTCACTATTATATAATTTACCCATGTAACAAAAAATCACTTGTATCCCAAAAGCTATTGAAATAAAAATAAAAATAATAATTGTAAGTCTCCTAAAGCCAAATTGTCTAGATTATTTTGTGTGGCAGACACTTTGCTAGGTGCCCTAGGGACACAAGAAATATAAATATTTTATGAGAAAAATAATAACAACATTATTCTTTTCATATTCAGCATGTAGTATAATGTTTATCTCACAGGAACTTTTTAATAAATGTTTTTTGATCGATATAATACTAAGATTTCCTGGTTTCCTTTCTATACCCCTGATTGCAACATTTCATCTTTAGTTTAATGACATTTCAAGATTATTTTAAACATTACCTTTGTCCGCCATTGATAAGAGAAACAACTGCACGTGCAGGAGTTACATTATTAACCATAGCTCTCAATGCTTTGTCAACATCTTCTCTTATAAATGTATTTGATTCACCAGCCTTGTGCAACAAAACTTTTACTGTGGTATCTAATTCTTGATCCATGCTCTTTTTCAAATAAGTGAAAAGATCACTTAAACAGACCACAGCAGCACGAGAAACTCCAGAACGTAAATTTTTCACCTAAAAAAAATTTCAAAATGTATATTTTGCTGATATTCTGCAAGAAAATCAGTAATAACTTGGAAAGGAATTTTACTTTTTTTGTTTGTTTGTTTTTGAGTTATGGTCTCACTCTGTTGCACAGGCTAGAGTGCAGTAGTGTGATCTCAGCTTATTGCAACCTCCACCTCCTGGGTTCTAGTGATTCTTGAGTCTCAGCCACCTAAGTAGCTGGAATTACAGGTGCAAACCACCATGCCTGGTTAATTTTTGTATTTTTAGTCAAAATGGGGTTTTACCATACTGGGAAGTCTGGTCTCAAACTCCTGTCTTCAAGTAACATACCTTTGCCCTAGTGCGGTGGCTCACGCCTGTAATCCTAGCACTTTGGGAGGCCAAGTTGGGTGTATTACCTGAGGTCACGAGTTTAAGATCAGCCTGGCCAACATGGTAAAACCCTATCTCTACTCAAGATACAAAAATTAGCCAGGCATGATGTTGTGTGCCTATAATCCTAGCTACTTGGAAGACTGAGGCAGGAGAATTGCTTCAACCTAGGAGGAGAAGGTTGCAGTGAGGCAAGATTGCATCATTGCACTCCAGCCTGGGGGGCAGAGCAAGACTCCATCTCAAAAACAAAGCCCCATATCTTAATATATGCTATCTTTTGTCCTAAGAATCAACATCCATTAAATTTCTCTTAATGTTGCAAATTAAGACAAGATCTACTTTAATTAAATACAAGCCTTTTATATTGTATAGTACAGAGGTGTTTAAAAATTTTAAAGGTCAAACAAACATAGCATATTTATTCCTTGTTATTCTAATAATACTTAACTTATCAAAAAAATAAGTTTACCTCTTGAACAACTGCAAAAGTTGTTTCATGCAATTTTGTGCTCAATATCTCAGGATGAAAAGCAGCTAAGCATCTAATAAAATTCAGTCCCTCAATTTTCTTCTCCCTATAGGAAAAATAAATTACAAAATCTTTTGTTAAATGGGACTCAACTGAAACAAGATCACAGATGTCTTCTTTTCTGTGTATGGAATATTGTCAAGGGAGAGGTTCAGAAAGGTGAGAAAGGTTCAGAAGAAAAGTTTGAGTTTAGCAAAGGTTGGTTCATGAGGTTGAGGGAAAGATGCCATCTCCATAACATAAAAGTGCAATGTGGGCTGGGTGAGGGGGCTCACGCCTGTAATACCAGCACTTTGGGAGGGCAAGGCAGGTGGATAATAAGGTCAGGAGTTCAAGACCATCCTGGCCAACATGGCAAGGCCCTGTCTCTACTGAAAATGCAAAAAATTAGCTAGGCATGGTGGTGCACACCTGTAATCCCATCTACTTGGGAGGCTGAGGCAGGAGAATTGCTTGAACCCGGGTGGCAGAGGTTGCAGTGAGCCGAAATTGTGTCACTGCACTCCAGCCTAGGCTTCAGAGCAAGACTCCATCTCCAGGGGGGAAAAAAGTGCAATGCGAAGCAGTAGGTGCTAATGTAGAAGCAGCAGCAAGTTATCCAGGTAAGGTAATAGATATATGTAGCTACACAAAACAACAGATATTCAATGTAAAGGAAACAGCCTCCTATTAGAAGAAGATGCCATATTGGACTTTCAAAATCAGTACGATTCTTATGTGCTAAATTTTCAGAATTGAAGTTATATTAGAATGTATGAAAACAACATTAATCTCCTTGTACATCTCCATCAGAGCTCATGAGTGACCAGGTACACTGTCAATGAGCAGTTATATTTGCAATTGCTGAAATTGCCATGGCCAGCCACTACCACCCTAATCAGTCAGCAGCCATCAACATCAAGGTAAGATCCTCCACTAGCAAAAAGACTACAGCTCACTGAGGGTTCAAATGATCAGTAGTATTTTTTAGCAACTAAATATTTTTAAATTAAGGCATATTGATTTTTTTAGGCATAATGCTACTGTTCACTTCTTAAAACTACATTATAGTGTAAATATTACTTTTATATCTTTTAGATTTAAAACATAATTAATCTATAATTGTGTACCTTATACAATTATAATGTAGATATAATTGTTGATTTATTTATCCTTAAATTTCTATCAGTTTTTTTCTTCATGTATGTGTGCTGTCTCTATGTGTACATGTGTGTGTTAGGACTAATACGTCTTCTTGATGAATAGACACTTTTATGGTTTAACAATAGGCCTTGTTAGCTGGTCCTTCATTATCTGACCCTTGGTAATAAAGAGTTACAATTTTTGGTAAGGATTTTAAATTTTTTCACTAGTGTTCTAGGGAGCTACCAAAGTGCTTTCTGTGGAGAAGTCTCATGGTCTGGTTTATATTTTAACAGTAGCAACGGCGATTAAATGAGATGGAGTAATAATACAAGCATGGAAACCAGTGATGAAACTACGATAGCCATGTGGGAGATAATTATGGCATGAACTAGAGGAATGGCAGCAGAGACTGTAGTAAGTAATTGGTTCCAGGATATGTTCTGAAAATATAAGAATTGATGGAATGTACAGAAATGAGAGGCCAGGTGCAGTGGCTCATGCATATAATCTTAATACTTTGGGAGGCTGAGGTGGGCAGATTGCTTGAGACCAGTAGTTTGAGACCAGCTTGGCTGAAACTCTGTCTCTACAAACAATACCAAAATTAGCCAGGCATGGTGGTTTGTACATGTAGTCCCAGTTACTTGGGTGGCTGAGTAGGGAGGATCACCTGAGCCCACAGAGGTCAAGGCTGCAGAAGCCATGATCATGCCACTGCACTTCAGCCTGAGTGACTAAGTGAAACTTTGTCTCAAACAAAGAAAGNAAAAAAAAAAAAAAGAAAAAAAAATCAACCCTGACTTGGAAAGAACAATCAAATGTATATGGCAGGGCTATTAACTAAGACAGTGAACACTGAGGGAGAAGTATATTTCAGATTAGGAAGAGAGGAAATAAAAAGTTCTATGTTAAGAACTTTTCTCTCTAAGTTCTTGTGCTATATTAGGAATCGGTCTGTAGTTTTCCAGTCTTTGTATGATTTTGGTATCAGAGTAATGGTGGCCTCAATCAATGAGATGAGAACTCCATCTTATTCAATGTTGTAGAAGTATATGTAGAATTGGTTTCTTCCTAAAATGTTTGGTATAAACTATCAGAAAATGAAGGTTTCTTTGTAGAAACGCTTTTTTTTTTTTTTCCCCCCAAAGGGAGTCTTGCTCTGTCACCCTGGCTGGAGTGCAGTGGTGCGATCTTGGCTTACTGAAACCTCTGCCTCCCAGGCTCAAGTGATTCTCCTGTCTCAGTCTTCTGAGTAGCTGGGATTACAGGCATATGCCATCATATCTAGCTAATTTTTGTAATTTTAGTATAGATGAGGTTCCACCATGTTGGCTAGGTGGTCTTGAACTCCTGACCTCAAGTGATCTTCCTGCCTTGGCCTCCCAAACTGCTGGGATTATAGGCATAAGTCACTGCTCCCGGCCTCTTTGTGGGAAAATTTAAACAAAAATTCAATTTCATTCATAGATATTGGGTTACACAAGTTTTTTGTTTGTTTGTTTGTTTGTTGTTTTTTTAGAGACAGAGTCCTGATCTGTTGGCCAGGATGGAGTACAGTGACGCAGTCTCAGCTCACTGCAACCTTCTCTTTCTGGGTTCAAGCAATTTTCATGTCTAAGCCTCCTGAATAGCTGGGATTACAGGCACAAGCCACGATACCCGGCTAGTTCTTGTTTTTTTAGTAGAGATAGGGTTTCACCATGTTGGCCATGCTGGTTTCGAACTCCTGGCCTCAATGATCCGCCTGCCTCAGCCTCCCAATGTGCTGGAATTACAGGTGTGAGACATCGTGCCCAGCCACAAGTTATCTATTTCCTTACGAATGAGTTTTAGTAGTTAGGTTCTTTCAAATAGTTTGTCCATTTCACCTAAGTTGTTGAATTTTGGGGCATCATGCTGTTTATCATATTTCTATATTATCTGTTTCACAGCTGTATGATCAGTAGTGATGTTTCTTCTCTCATTCTTGATGTTAGCAATTTTCCTCTTCTTTTCCATGGTCAATCTGACTAGAGGCTTATCCATTTTATTGATCTTCACCAAGAAGCTGCTTTTGCCTTCACTGATTTTCTCTATTGTTTTCCACTGCAATGATTTTCACACGGATCTTTATTATTTCCTTTCTTTGTTTACTTTGAGTTTCATTTGCTCTTCTGTTTCTAGTTTCTTAAGGTGAAAGCTTATTTCCTTGATATAGAACTTTTCTTCTTCTTTTCTAATATGGGTGTCATAGTGTGACATATTCCTCTTTATTTTGGCTACATCCCACAAATTTTGATGTTTCATTCTTTATTTCATCAAATTTAAAATAATTTCTAATTTTCCTTTTAATTTATTCTTAGATCCACAGGTTACACATATAAGTGTGTTATGTAGTTTCTAAATATTTGAGCATTTTCCAAATACTCATCATTAATTTCCAATTTAATTCCAGAGAACAAAATTTGTAAAATGTGATTCCTTTTAAATTACTTGTTTTGTAGCCTAGAATAAGGTCTTTCTTGGTAAATATATCTTGTGAACTTGAACAGAATGTGAATTCTGCTGCTGTAGATGGAATATGTTATAAATGTTAATTAGGCACACTGATAACAGTTGAGGCCATCTGGAGTGGCTGCTGCAAAGACACTGGCTGCAGCAGGGGAGGTGCAGCTGAGATTGTGTGCTCCGTGGAGACAGCAGGAGCCAGAAACAGGTGGAAGCCGTGCTCCTTTCTGAGTAGAAGGGGTGGGAGCCCCGCCCTCCTGGGCACAGCTGCAGCTGCAGACGTGGGTATCCCTATGCTCTTACAGGCCCTGAAAGCCTCCCTGCCCCCACAGGCTCAGAAGTGCCTTCTCCCACTGCCTGGCTTCTCCCCACTCCCAGCAAAACCTCCAGTTTTGGAGTATAGTTGCAGCAGACCCCAGGTGCTGTCAGGACCTGGCCAGGTGTGTGTACACTTGTGGTAGTGCTGACATGCCAGCCCCCTGCTGTCTGGTTCCCCTCTGGACTTTGGGCACTGCCAGCATGGGAGGGAAGCTGGGAGGCTGCTGAGGGCAGCCTGGCATGGGCCTGCAGGCACCCCTCAGCATGAACAGCCTGGGTGTTGTGGACAACGGGTTGATGGCAGCAGGAGGCAGACAGGCTCCTGGGCAGAAAGGGGCAGGTGAAACCTCACCTTCAAGCCAGGGACAGCCTGAAGCTTGTGGGGCTGGACTGCCAGTTCCACAGACTACAGTGAGAACTTATGGTGCTTTTTCCAGGCCTACCCATGGGCCAATCAGCACACACTTCCTCCCACCTGAAGCTCATAAAAATCCTAGACTCAGCCAGACTCTGGCAGATGGGACAACCTGCCTGTGGAGAAAAGTACCCTCTATGTGTCTCTTCTCTGTTGAGAGCTGTACAGTCATCAGTAAGACCTGCCTATGGATAGAAGCTACCCACTCTAGGACTCCTCTCTGCTGAGGGCTACAGAGGTGTTATGATGACCTGTCTACAGATAGGAGCTATCCACTCCTGGTCTCTTCTCCACTTAAGGCTGCACAGACATCAGGATGTCCTGACTGTGGATAGGAGCTACCCAATGCAAGTCTCCTCTCCACTGAGGGCTGCAGAGGTGTGAGGATGACCTGCCTGCAGAAAGGAGCTACCCACTTTGGTTCTTCTGAGAGCTATACTGTTGCTCAATAAAGCACCTCTGACCTTGCTCCACAACTGGAGGTATGTTCCAGTTGTTCACATACCTCATTATTCCTGGACACGGGACAAGAATTAGGGACACACCAAATGATGGGGCTGAAAAATCTGTAACACAAATAGGGCTGAAACACTACTCAACCCCCGCCCCACCCTACCACTCATCACATTGCAGGCAACGAGAAAGAGAGAAGAAAGGAAAAAAGAGCTGTGGCCCTTTGGGGAACCCAGACTTAGGAGCTT